AAGCTGCTCTGGCCTTTCCGATTCGGGAAATAATCTCATCTCCAGCCGGTCTGCCGGGACTTATGCAGCTCTATCAGACCACATCTAGTCATCTAGTCTCATTCTGTATGTTGCTGACCTGAGCGGCAATAACACAAAAGAGTGGAGATATCCTGCCCTCAAGGAGAACATCTTCTAGCGGGTAGTTGCGTCCCCAAGGAATGGGAGCGTCGCTGCCCAAAAACGACAGTCAAGGGCATGGTCCAACCAGAACATCGTCCTCGACCCACTGGCCACCTCCGCAGAGCACCTAGAGCTCAGAGAGTTTGTCTTCATCTTGCGTGATCACTCCACTCCTATCATAGCAGAGTGATAAGGACGACCTGGATGAGTTGCGGTGGACCTGCCTAAACCATGGGTAAATGTACTTTTTCCTAACGACCTCTAGGAGTGCAATGCATAGTGCTTCTCTTAGGTATCATTTCAGGGACAATTGGACTTTCGATGAGATAATTTGTCTTCCAGATTCCCCAAACAACCAGAAATCCCCCACAAATGACGAATTTCTCAAAGTATAGTAAATAAGACGACCTATCCGTATGATGCACAGGGACCGAAGAGAAATCAAACTGACTTGATGCATTTGAAGAGTCGAAAAGTAAAGGAATTTGCAACAAAAAAAAGCTTTGGTGTAAAGCTGTAAAGACAAATTTTGGACTGCTAACTTCCAGCTCAATCTTTCCAGATTCCTCAATGGAGTGATATTAGGCTCTACCACCTAGTGATGTGTTCTCTCGTGAAGCATTTTGAAATATCATGCTGTAAATCTTGTTCCCCTCCGAGGATTCGCGATCGAAAAATCAGCGTCGGAATTCTTCCACAAAGACTAAACCTACCGTGACACATCTCCCTCTGTATGGCACAAATTTGTTTCCTAATTAAGATATATTTATTCATAGTGAGCACAAACATGTTTATGCAGTCAGCACTTACGCATATTCTGCAAGACGTGCATCCATTTGAAAGAACGCCAGAGCGGCCCTGTATTTCCCCAGTCCATCCAGGCACAGTCCGATGAGGTGGCACAAGTCAGCTTCAAAGCGCCATTTCATCGCATTCGGCTTGCTATCCGTCCATGTGTCCACCTGCTGTAAAACCTGCACAGCAACGTAGGCTGCGGTACGATACTGGGATCGTAGATACACTGAAGCATAGTGAATAAAGGCAAATTTGTGGTTGGAAAAAAGTCTATACAATTCAAGATGGTCAGGGATCGAAAAGAGCAAATGGGACGCATCTTCGTAAGTGGCAGGATACACCCGAAGAGCGGCCGAGGAGACCCGCTGCCGAAGCCGACCTGACAGAGGTAAATAAAAATCGATGGCATGTGGACGAGCTTTAAGGGGTGGAGGTGTGTAACGGTGATACTACTGATCGGAAGGCACGCGAGTAGTATGTGTTGTTCGTAGAATTTCGCTTTGCTTCGATTGGAAAATGGAATTCTGTTGCGGAATTCGTGGAGCCACTTTGTAACATTTGCTTTTATTTGATCGACGAATGATTGGAGGCAATGAATCTCCAAGAAGACTCGTTCGGTAGAAGATCTGTGTCCAGTTTTTGTAACTAAGATGCAGATTAGAGTTTTGCTTCCTTGTTCAATGGTCTGTAACCGGTCAGTTGGCATGTCCAAGTAAATAACTCCGCAGCGAAGGCCTTCGTCCTTTCACTAATACGGAGTATTTAGTATTCAAAACAGCACGCATTAACTTTTCCCAGCTATTTGGTATACAAATACTTCAAGAGAAACTATAACCAGTGTACATCGTAATGCAGGTCTAAGACCCATAGAATTTCACAGACAAGACAATTCAATAGGCAGCCTATAGAACGAGTGAAAAATCTTTGTTCGCCGGCATAAACAGTGTAGCAACACAGTCACGGAAAACGTGGCACTGTTCTATCAACAGACAGATAAAGTTCAAATTCTGAAGCGTATTACGCACAAACGTTCCTGTTGACTTTCCCAACAAAAGCTGTTCAAAACTGTTAGTATCTTACAGTGATATCATACAATCCGGTCTATGTCGTACTAATAATCGTTTGCAGACTACGCTGGCTTGATGATGGGCTTCATATATCAGTCGACTGATAACTTAGTATACCTCCATCTTGCAACCACACGGGGAACCAGGGAAGTTAAATCAGTGCCTAAGCTACAAAATATGATTACCCTTTCCAGAAAACTCACCGTCTCCCTGGATGAAGACACCGATCCGGAGCACATCAGTGGTTAGAGACACTGTCAGACATGGCCCAATCAAGCGCTTAGTAACGCACTCACCTTTGATACATAGCTGCTCTTCCCGATGTTTTCAATGCGGAGTTCACTACAACCTCTAAACTTTTGCGTCAATTGTATCAGCTACTGACGAAAAAAAGTGCAGCAGCTAAATCACTGTACCACAGATACGCTGTTTTTACCCGGAGAAAGGGGAAGTTGTTGATTAAAAGAATGTGTCTTTTGGAAGATGCCTCTGTTTTCAGTGGGTTTCCTTTGTGACCAGAATAAGACTGTTATCACCAGTCTGGGGAAGTCCTGCGGGCGATCGATATGCCTTACTTTAAGAAACAACTACGAAAATGAGTACTACAAAATCTGCTGCGTGTTTTGGATTGCAAACATGTTTCTTTCTAAAAACTCACGGTTTTTTTGTAAAACTTTTCAGTAAGCGATGCTTTGAAGGTAGAAACAGCTACTTCGACCGGCTAAGCTGCATTTTATGGGAAGAATGCGTATAAAGAATGCATAACAGAAAATTCATAGCCACAGGCTATTTGAAAAATGCTGTGATTGGAGATCATCAATCAACTGAGCTGATTGAGAAGTCACATGACACATCCGTGAGCCACTGAAAATTCATGTAAGAATAATGTGAGCTGAAAAGTGGTCATATAATTACCATGTAGATGAATAACCAACAGAAAAATGGGGCAGTATCCTGCCGTAAGGCTGGCATGGGATAATGAAGATCTCACTATTACAAGCGTCCAAAAACCCATTTTGGGGTTAATTGAAAAATGTTATTTTAAACACCCCAATTTGCTTACTTTGGAGTACTTGCGTACCGACTGATTTGTGGACACGGAAGACTATGTAAAACGGATACCAAAAGCAACAATTTAAGGGGGAACAACAAGATCAACAAATATAGGCACGAATTTGACTGAAAGTCTACCTAATAATAGGGCGAACAGTTGTACGGCTTGCAGTCGACTGTAGATGCAGGCCACAATCATCCAGTTCATCAGGTTCACTTGTTTTACGCACCACAGCACTTAACAATAGAACTCTGGAATAGAACGTTCACCAACACTTCTTTTTTTATTTACTTTACCTGGCTCAGCAAAGCTACTGAACACAGTGTAAGATATCCGAACAAGCCAGACGAAAAAGGCCAAAAGAAGTTTGTGCATACTGTTGTCAAATTTGTTAGACTACTGAATACAGCCCAGAATCAAACCCAGTCACTTAAATACGAAGTGGGCAAATTGTCTAAAATTTTGAGCTCACATTTTTCTGTCAAGACTGAACTATGGGCTACTATTATTAAAATCATCCAAAAAGACTACCGTTTTGCAGGGAAACCCGTGAATGAATCAAGCGCGTGAAAAACGGAAAAATGGAAAAACTGAACCCAGAGGAACGATCCCAAAAGATTACTGCCTCTGTCCTGCTTTAAATGACAAAATGCGATTATGGCAAATCCGTGTTTGCTGAAAAAAAGCAAATTATTGAACCGTACGACGGCTCCTAAGAACAGCGCAGATAAATGTTTCGATAAAACTGACACGTTTGTGATCGGATGTTACAGAAATGCGGAGGCTGTCGTAACACATCTAATAGTGCAATCAACGCGAAAGCTCAAAACGACGTTTATATGCCAAATTAATCAAGGTAATTCCGCAGAAACTGTAAACAACTTCAGTGTGACGAGATTCTGGAAATGGCCAAACAAAAGTCAGGTAAATAAGCACCTCAATAGTTGAAATTATTGACCGTACGACGGCTCCTAAGAACAGCGCAGATAAATGTTTCGATAAAACTGACACGTTTGTGATCGGATGTTACAGAAATGCGGAGGCTGTCGTAACACATCTAATAGTGCAATCAACGCGAAAGCTCAAAACGACGTTTATATGCCAAATTAATCAAGGTTATTCCGCAGAAACTGTAAACAACTTCAGTGTGACGAGATTCTGGAAATGGCCAAACAAAAGTCAGGTAAATAAGCACCTCAATAGTTGATTTTGAAAAATTCAGATACCGAAAAATAAGAGTTATTTAGATACACTGCACAAAAAAATTATTTCAGTTTTCAATCGTCAAATTGTTTCACGATCAGAAAAGGCCGATTCCTAGACACTGCACGAAGATCACCACTTCACAAGAGAAAACAGAGTGGGTTTTTGCGTTAGGCCATGGGGTCTCCTCTAGGTCCCCTATTGGCAGATTTTTTCATGACCAAGCTAGAGACTCAGAAGAAAATTACCTGCACTCATTGGACGGTTAACATTATATCGCCGCTACGTAGACGACATATTCGTTCTTGCCGATGAAACCATCAGCACAACAGACGTACTAAGCAGTTTCAATTCAGTCCATGCTAATATCAAGGTTACTATCGAATCAGAACAGAACGGACAGTTAAGTTTCCTCGATGTCAATGTTAAAAAGAAGACCGACGGGACCATAGAACGCAAGGTCCACAGAAAGCAAACGTGGAAAGGTCAGTATACTCACTTTGATAGCTTCGTTCCGTTGCAACAAAAACGCAACCTAATTAGATGCCTGACCGAGAGAGCAATGAAGATATGCTCACCCGAATGCTTAGAAGAGGAACTAAAGTTCTTGGGACGCACATTCCTGCAGAACGGATATCCTGAAAGGTTCGTACTGAAGACTATGGAAGCCGTTAAACACAAACCTACGGAATTTTTTTGTTGGAAAGAAGCCCGTATACATGAGGCTTCCATTCAAAGGTGACTCGGTTGCTGAACTAATCACCAGAAGGCTTAGAAACTCCGTTGATACGACATACTTGGCCGCTAATCTATGTTTGAGCTTCAACTCCAGCCCCACTATCAGATTCTGCTTGAAAGACAAATTGCCACGTTCTACCACCAGCTTTTGTGTGTACTCATTCGTATGCTCGTGCCGAGCATCATACGTTGGTCGTACGACAAGGCATTTGTCGGACAGAATACGAGAACACAATCCCGTATCTCTGAGTGGTAGTGGAAAGAAACCAGGCTCAAGCGCGATTGCAGCACACTTGGCCGAAACCTGTCATATCATAGACAAGGAGCAAGCCTTCACCATCATATACCGGGTACCTCTGAACGGACCACGACTGGTACGATCCAAACTACTATCGATCGCAGAAGCGATAGGAATCCGACTGCTGGATCCACAACTTTGCATCCAAAAGAAACTTGTGCGACCTCTGAACTTGAACTGGCCTACGAAACATCTGGTCCCACAAGTCTGTCTGACATTGACGTCATGACCCATTGACCTACCCCTCACCCAACCCCCTTCCTTTGACTTCTATTTCTCTAAAGTGTAGCCCCGATCTTAACCTTTTCCACGTGATTTCTGCTACCGTATAAATTTGTGATGTATTAGCCAAGATGAACAATCACAGAAAACAAGCTTTGTTCGCTACCTTCTTCGTTGTCATGACTAGAATGTGTATTTTCAGCCGCTCGAACCAGATAAGCATTCATCGCTGGTTGGTTCAATTTTGATGCCTTCAATACGCGATCCAGTTAGTCAATAACAAAATATAAAAATGAAGCCACTAATACAATCTACGGGTTGCCGAAGTGTTGCAATTTGACTCTCTCAATGTGACGCTTGCTAACTTCAAGCGTATCAGTGTATGCATTTCATATGTCCTCTCGTAGTTTCTTAAGCAAATATCCGCCATGTGATCATGGATTTTTCAAGTGTCAATATAACCAGCATTACGAAATTCAAAGTTTAACAATACAAGTGAGATGAATGGGGAGGATAAGACAGGTAGATTGGTGAGTACATCATACACACAATAATACTTATATAAATTTATGCAAACACATATTTTCATACACAACTAGAGGGATAGATAGATAGGTAGATAAATAGATGTGAAAATAGATAGATAGAAAAATAAATAGATAGACTGCCTGCCTGCCTACTTGATTTATTGAGTAGTTAACTGATTAAGGGTTTATTTGCTTCATTGTCTGATTGATCGAGCGATTGATTAACTAAGTGATTGGCAAAATGATTAGTTGGTTGATTGTTTGATTGATAGATTCATTAATTGCTCTGTCATTGGTATGGCATAGATGGATAGAAAAATTGCTGGGAGATAGATAACAGCTAGATAGACTGAATGCCTGCCTACTTGTTTCACTAAGTAATTGACTGATTGAGTGTTCAGCTGGTTAGTTGAGTGACCGATTGAGTGATTGATTGATTAACTAAGTAAGTAACAAAATGATTGGTTGGTTGATGAATACGTTGACTGCTTTATTGTTAGTGCGGCAGAGAGGTAGGTAGCTGAATAACATGACAGAACGTCAGTGCATTATGGTCGGGAAAATTCCTACTGATAAAGATTTACCAGGTAGGTGCACAAAAACTTTGGGTGGAAAACTCGCTGTGGGAAGGTTTTGACACATAATGGAGAATACTGGGATGGTGATACCAGTAAAAATCAGAATAATCAACGTTTTCGGACAGAAATATATTTGAAAGCTTTTTAATATTTGCTAGCTAGTCCTTGCTGATGAGAGAACTAACCGGAGTAGACCAAACACACGGTTAAACATACCTGTCTTATACAGTAAACTAGCAGCATGGGAACAGCAGAAACGCAGAAAATTGGTCTTGGTCACACTTGCGGACGTCTGCGTAAGCGAGTCCGAAATATTCAAATGAGATCAGTGCAAGAACACGAGGGTGAAAACGGTAAACATGAATTCACTGACAATCGGATTGTAGTATCATGCTGATTTAGAAAGACTGTCTTCTCAAATTCTGAAAACAACGCAAGCACCTCCGACGATAGATTAGGCAACTGTACTTGCAGACGGATATTTAAGAATGAAGTGCTGCGAACGGTCTACAGAGAGGTAAAAACCGGAGATTGGTATAAAAACGCTATTTCGATGCATTTATACAGGTTGAATTGTAGATTTAATTAAAAGAAGGGGCCAAATATTTCGCAACAGTAGAAGTTAAGCGAGAGTCTTCAACACATTTTCAAAAAATTAGGAGTTTTTGGCTAAAATGGACTCTGGTATTGTTAAAAAAGCTGCGCAGTGTGATGTATAATATGGAAAGTTTTAAGGCCACAATATGGCGGATAGACTTTCATAGTACCACGTTTCGATGACAATAGGCAAACTTCGTCAAAAAGTTTGCTATGGAATCTTTTTGACAATATTCAAGATGCTTTCGACCCCGGACTCCTTTCACTCATCATTCTAAATCATTCCGCGGGTTTTCAGGCAACCAAACCATCGGGTTATAACGTCTTATTCCGCTAAGCTATGTCTCCCTGTTGACAAAAGTTCGAGCAGTTGGACAGTTCAGACACTTGTAGGAAGCATGCGCCCTCTGAGGAACCTACGGTATGCACCGCCTCACAAAAGATTTACTGTTAAATAGCTACTTATGAAACACGATGTCCTCCTTAGGTGGTAAAAAATTATGCTTTTTCAACATTACCCAAGCAGTCACGCAAACAAAACGCGCTGTGTATGAAGCAATAAGCTGACTACCCTACAGGCTGGCTCCTTTGTTCAAAGAAATATCTTCTGATTTTTCCACTTTTCTTGACACCACTCTAGTTACCTGTGAACTTTCGGCCTCCTGAGGTTAATGGAAATGTGAAATCTCATTCCTTCCCTGTCCATCTTTACTCTTTTCTTCACAATAAGGCTTGCAAATGAGTCATGCTTTTTCGGCGGCGAAGCATCGGTGTTAAAAAACACTGATCTCGTGCTGTCCGTGATGTTGATGAAAGAGAAGGAAAATTTGAGCCAGCTTAAGTGAATAAGACATTAGAAGCGACTTTCTCTTTGTATTTGACAGATAGATTAACTAAGAGCTTTGTGAATTCTAGTACCAAGCGAAGGAGCACTCCTCATAACAGACGTTCCATTTCACTTAACGCAAGTGGAGAACAAATGACAAAGTTTGTACCAATTTGTTCATTTGTTTGTAGGACACGGTACAAAAGTAGGCAGGCACGTAAAGAAGGACAAATCACTGGCGAGATATGATCCATCTTGATGTCTATTGATACGCGAGGGAATAGTCCGAGGAGCAACCCTGGTTGTTCAAAGAGCGCTAGTTCTTTTGACGCACTTAAACAACGTCAAGGAACAGAACGGTCTGTCCTAACTGGAGTTATATGCACATCCGTCATTTCGGATAAATAACCAAGTCACTCTGTTGGGAAAAATGACCATTACTTTGAAAGACCTGGGCTATCTTTTGCGAAAAATCGACCCGCCAAAACAGCTGCCATTTGACAAGTAGCCCATTTTCTGAATTCAATTCAGTAATCAAGCACAAAGAAGTGACAGTGATTCAGACCAAATGGGAACCATTTTTACCAATATTTTATCATTCCACCGGAGTATATCCAACCGTGTCGCAAACCGACAACAACGTGAAATAAAGTGAAGTTGAAAATGTATTCTTCCATATTTCATTTATATTCCGGGCTGAAAATTCCAAACCAGTCGTTGCTCAAATTTTTTTAAATCCTTTCAAGAGACTGGACTTGCGTAAGAACGTGAGAAGCTTGCAACTGGAAATATTGTACGGGCCAGTTGCCTATTCGGTGGGTCAGTCGGCCAGGCTGACGGGCATTTGGTCGCTGTGGGCTACATTAGCATACGTCTCAATAATTCGTTTCGGGAAACCGGTTTAAAGTAAAAATGTACCGACTGAACCCTCAGCTTCTATCATGTGAGTTTGACATTAGGTTTTATTTGCTCACCTGATTCGTAGGAAAATTATTTGAGTCTACTATGGTTGTTGATTTTTAATTCAGTAAATATGTTCAAAAATGGCACACATTTTGAGTTTCTTTCAAATTTTCTGCTAACCAACAAATCATTTAGGAGCCGAGTTCCCCAAAATGACACTCGCTGACGAGGTATACTGCAGTTGAAATACCTAGGTTATAACTAAATGAAGTTAGGCACACTTTAAAGCCCAAATTTCATTCCATGACTTCGTGGTCACCAGCCTTTAAACATCTACGTTTTTGTTCAAAAGTTACCACGAAATAAACAAGAACCTTCAACCCTTTTGAGAGCTATTCACTCTGCATGGACGGATCGACCAGATGAATTTGTGGTCATTAGCTTCCGGTGGTAGCACAAACCAACTCTGTAAATATCAATTCTTGCACTTTTGAAAATCATCTCATGGGGGTATGGAACCATCCCGGCTTAAGCAGATCTCATGGTTATTGATTTCCTAACCGTCCTTTTATATTCTGCTGTGGTCACAATGAACAATCTTGCGCCAATAGTTTGTTGTGCATGATCTAACCATAACAGTTAGTCCACAATAAGAATCGCGATGGAGAAAATCGTTTAGGCAGGCTGCTTTTTAGAACACTTTTGTTTCCACAAAAAATCATTCCAACTAAGAAAGTGTGGGCTATATTGGGTTACAGATGTAGATAGTTTTTCACCACGCTTTCTGGAAGAAAGCACTAACCACGCAAACAGGGTCGATACCGTACAAACTATTCCAGTACCAGTCTGAGATAATGGTGGGCTTGTCTCTAATTCAAGTAATACAAAATACTCGCATGGTTGCGATATCCACCAAGAGCCCTAAGGAAGAAAAAACACCTGGAGTAAATCTTCGTAGCTCGCAATCTATTAAATCTACTACGACCACTATTATTATCATTTATTTTTGAAGAGCACTAAGGACCACAAAGAAAGGACAAACAATGGTGAATGCTCTTCAAGGCGCAGTGTGCGCTAGCACAGTCAAGACTCGCACATCAGGCACAGCACAACCGTCATACTGGGT